TTTTTTTTTTTAATAGAGGCATGTTTTATTTATTTATTTATTTGTTTTGTTTATACATGCACTGGGTACAGTCAGAAGCGCGGGAGGGTGAGAGAATTCACCAGAGCCAGAGCCGGGAGCAGAGCAGGCAGAAGGACCGAAGTACACTGCTGAGGGGAGCAGCGGGCGGCAGGAGAGGTCTGCGCGCCATGCGGAACCCTCCTCCGGTGGCCGGGGAGCAGCCGGGGATCGAACCGGCGCCGCAGAGGCCGCGAGCAGCTTCACAACCCAGCGCTCAACCGCTGCGCCACCGGGGAGGCCCATCATTTTCAAAGTATTCAAATGTGATCACAGCTGTCAGATTGCCTAAAAAAATTAAATCTTAAAAACAATATACCTGTGGAAAAATTGATACCTAAAAATTCTAGCACGATAACATAAGCAATTTATCCCATGGCCTAAAAAGTATACTAAAGTAATTTTAATTACTATAAATAATGAAAGCTTTAACATATGAGTATGTTGTATTAAAATGTTTTTGCATTAGAATTTCTGACATTTTAATAGGTCACTATTCTTCATCAGTCATGCACTGAAATCTCAGGGTGAGAAAAGGGCCAGACCAATGTTGAAAGGTTTCAAATATCAAACTATACCGTTATGTCAGTGCACCAAGATCAATTAGCACCTTTCAATGACAGAAAAGGTTACAGGGAGACTCAGATGTGTATGCTCTGAAACTGCTTTAAGTCGCCATATGAATGTGGTTTTGATAATCCAAAATGGTTTCTATTTTTTAAATTAATCTGTTTCATCTCTTTTTCTGGAAGCGCGAAAAGGAACTAGGGGAAACAGGGCAGTGGTATTCATTTTCAGTACCTTTTTACTAGTGAAAACATGGATGGGAACACTAAGAACCACAAACTTCAAGAGTCGAATGGCATATCCCCAAAGGCACGCACTAAAGTGCAGTGCCACAAGCAAAGTTAGGTGACAGTAATGTTTACAAAGTCTTCAGACCTCTTAAAAGCAATCAAGTTTGCTTGTACTGCTTTTGAATATGGGATTCTTGTTTATTTTCTTCCACTCAAGTTCAAGTTAAATGACACCAAATTCGGCTCCCTGTATAATTTAATGAATATTCGGTGTAGCCCCACATTAAAATATCTCCAGCTGCAAAACACAGTATCATACATACTGCAATGAAATACACCACTGCATCTCACCCACCTCTAGAAGAAATGCCTAAAAGAGCAGGTCATTTTGTAGTTTACTGGGAAAAATTCATGAGAGAAGCAGGTAGACTGCAAAGCCATCCCCATTCCTCATGGTGTTGATTTCATTCACCTAGTAACCATTGTAATAAAATCCCCAACTGCACTTCTAAATACAATTAGTTTAAGATACTCTACAGGGAGACATCTTATAAGAGTTTATAATATGTGAGAATAATATCCATTTGAGAAAGAAACGGTCATGATTATACTCTCACTGAAAAAATAACAAGGTGATGGAGGTTTGTTCAGCTCTTCAATGAGAGGATTTAAATGTCTTCTGCTTTTGATAGGCACGCTTTTCTATTTGGTTAAATGAGTGATCTGAAATATTTACAACCAGACAGTACCTAATTTTAGGTTTTAAGTGCTTTAACAGCTCCATGAAATATGATCAGCAGCTGCGATACAGAACTATGGTGAATAAACTCCTTATGAAGGGGGGCCTGTTTTCACTGAATGCTCACTGTTCCTGCATTTACCTAATAGAAAAACAAAAGATAATGAAAAATATAATAAATACCTGCACTCTTAAATTACCTAACACTTCACTAAGTCTTGAAAAAGATTATCTCCCCTCTTTTTAAGTTCTGTGTAAAGTGTGGATGTCACTGGGGGAAATAAATTTAATTTTATAATTAGAAAATTAAAATGTGAGCTTTCTAACAGCCTATCTTTTTTAACAATAGTAGTGGGTTTTGTATTATTCTACTTTGCTGAAAATTCTGGGATAATTTAATTGCAGTGCATCAAATTTTTTAAAATGAAATGCCAAGCCAAATAAATATATTTTTAGACATGACACCAGTCATTTAGAGCTTGCAACAGAGATTGAAAACATGAAACAAGACACTCTATTTCCCGTGGCTATGTAAAATTTATTTACACTCCAAATCACAATATAAATAAAAAGGAAACTCTTAGAAATAGAGAACTTGGTTTTCTTTTTTTAACTCAAAAAAGTGGCCTTTTTAAAAGAAAAAATATATTACAGTAAAAGGACAAAATACTCATCTGCCAGTCTCCCCTCAAGAAAAGAAACTTTTATAGTAAGACATTTTTTCGGCTAGCTTTTACAAATCTTTTATAAGACAACAACCATATTTCTTAATAAGCATAATGACTATTCTCGAACCAATTTCTTTTTATACAAATCTTAGAGCTATTTTTAAATTTGAGTATAATACTTAAGTAGATATTGCCTATGAATATATACATATACACAAAACTATTCATTTTGGAAAGGAGAAAATGGATTTGTAACACCCAATAAGATAAACACTTATTAATAAAAAGAATAATCAAATTTTTAAAATTTCAGTTATAACCGTGAAGCTATCTCTAGTTATGATGGCCTCAAAATGTTGAAGCCTACTACTTGCAGGTCACTGACAAAGGAAAATAGCCTTTTAAAAACCACAGATTTTAGACCTTCATTTATTCTTAAAGTGATAGATATAACCCTAATAATCAGGGAAAAGGAAGTTAACAGAAAAATCTAATTATGTTACTTCCAAAGCTATAACTGTCAAAGGTTTTACCTTGCTTGTATTGCCATTTGTAAAAATTGGTTTGACTCTATATGACATAACTTTAATCAGCTGGAACAAACTATTTTATGGCTTATAATAACAATACAAATGGATGCAGTCATATCTGCTTTTGGCACTGTTGCCATAAAAATAAGATTCTGGCAGCCCCAGACAACACTGTTTGTCTCTTGATACTACTGTTATTTCTTGGGATATCCCATTTTAGAAAATACACCAATGCCTTTGCATATAGTCTCATAAAACGCATCCTACCACCTAGCATATGTTTTGTTTTAGGATCCTCTTTGGCCCCATATACTAGTTTTCGGTTTTTCAGCTATAAACTGACAAGAGATACTTAAAAAGAGGTGTGGGAGAGCAGATAGGCAGTTGCTGCTTAAAACCAAGTTGTACCCAGAAATGGTTATCAAATACAATCCTTGTGCTGAGGCAGTTTCAAAACTAAAAACAAAAACAACCCAACAAACAAAATCCCGCGGACTTTCAATCCCGTTGGTCACCTAGGTCTAAATGAAACTTCAGAAGCTGTTGAAGGGGAGCCAGCCTTGGTTACATGCTCCTGGGACTCCCACCTAAGTCCCTTAGAAGCCGGCACTGGAACCCACAAAAGCCTGAGGGTGCAAAAGAGTGGCCACGGAGAAGAGGAACAAAATGCCATATTCTAGAAGATATGTTTCGCTCCATCAATTACGTTGATCCCAGGGTGCCAAGCCAAAAGTGGTAAGGGAGAAAGAAAACTGTTAAGTATGAGCTCTTAATGTGAAACCTAACCTGTTGGTTCTCTTAGGTATCAGATTTTGGAAGTGTCTGTAATGACAGCCAGGAAAGCAAATTAATGGCCAAGGGCCCACTGGGTTTGAACAGGAGACTCCTGTTACCTCTTCACAGATCAAGTACACAAGGCTCAGGCACACGGAGGTGCTCCACGTGGAAGCGCTCGGAAACCAAAACACACGCGGGTCCCCATTCTGCACCTCCGCTGCCCTCAGATCAGGATTCATGAATGACTCTGCCCGCTTGGTAACGCAGGGGAGAGGCGCAGGAGGCGAGAGCAGGGAAGACCCGCTCCGAATAATCACCCCCCAACCCCCAAACACACCGCCGCTTAAGATCAAATCCCATCTGCCTTCAAGGGAGGGGGTAAAAGAGGTGTTGGTAAGGGGAGAGACCGCCACCCCCAGCGAGGGAAGAAATGACAAAAAATTAAAGCGCGCTCCTCGGTTCGCCACCGCTCTGCCACCGCACACGGTCCGCACATACTCTGTTGCCGCCAAGCTGCTCCGAATGATGTATACAAAGCCAAAAGCATCTTCCAAGTGCTACTAAACGAAAGTTCTGGCTGTCGTGTGGCGCAGAATAAAACAAGGACGCACACGGTCTATTTCTAAAACCCGCTGAACGACGCCGAAACAGCGAACGTTTTTCCGTCCCAGCACCACCCCGGACCCTGCAGGCTTTGAAACGCGAGAAAACCTGCTCTGCCCCGCCAGGTCCCTAGGTTTGGAGAAGTTCTAACCCGGCCGTGGCATCCGCGTCCCGAGCCAATGAACGCGACTCCTCTCTGACAAGGCGCCTCTAATTTCACGGACCCTGGCAAACTGCAGCAGACATTCGGTCCACGCCACATAAAAACGATTCGAGTGGGATGGCCGCGGTTTAAAAGCCCGCTTGACGCCTCGAGATCAGCGCACAAGGCGTTGAACGCACACACGCCCCCAGAATCCTGAAAACTCGAGGCGCCGGGGGTCCTCCAGGGACCTGGGTCAGCATCCTAGCGCCCGGTTACCTAGGGATCACCAAAAGTAATAAATGTCACAAGAGGGATGTCGAGGAGACTCTGGAACGCGCTCCTTGGAGAGACGCGGACCGGTGCAGGTAGCCAGGGGCGCACCCGGCTCCGCACGGCGCGGGGAGAAGGCAGACGCGACCCGGACCCCCGGGGTCCTCCGGGGCATCCTCCGGAGCAGGGCGCACCGCGGCAGTCCCAGCGGCCGCGCTCCTCCCGCGCGCGGCACCCAGCCTCGGGGCGCCCGCGGGGATCTCCGGCTTCCCCGCTGGTCCCGGGGCGCTTCCACCGTCTCCAGCGCTCGGCGCCCGGGGCCAAGAGGCGCGCGCTTCCCCAAAGAGTCTGCGGCGCCCTCCGACGCGGACCCCGCGGACTCCCGGACTGGGATCGAAAGCTGGGGGCACTCACCTCCCTCCCTGCGCCCGGACTGCCTCGGGATCCCGAAGCTCAAGAGTCGGTCCCGGCCAAGGATCCGTCCGTGCGTCGCTCTTTAGGTCCTTATTCTCGCTCCTTCCAGTGTCGAAGTTTCCCCTTTGCGTCGTGTCTCTGGTGGAAACAGGACATTCCCTTCGGCCACCCCGCAACAAATAGCGAACGCAAGTGGGGGTGAAACGGGGCGGGGGGAGAGACCAGCTCCGAGGGGGAGGAGGAAAGGAAAGAAGCCAAAACTCTGGAAGGGAAAAAAAAAAAAAAAAGTAGAAGAAAAGAAAAAGACAGCGCGCGCCCGGCCACGGCAGTCGCCACTCCTCGGCGCGTCCCAAAGCTCCTTCCCCGGCTGAGAGCCGAGCGGCAACTTCACGTGGACTGGCTGGAAGTTGTGCGCCGAGGCCGGGAGCGGCGCAGCGTGCGCCCCGCGGCGGGCAGCGCGGCACAGGCGCGCGGGGTGGGGGGCGGGGGACGCCGCCGCCGGCGCCCGCGGCCACTGGAGGCCGCCGAGGGCCTCGGGGCCGGCCTCCGGGGGGCGCGGGGGGCGGCGGCGCGAGGGGGTGGGTGCCTCCTTTTTATTCGACCTTTTATGCTGCGGCCCGTGGTCATCGTTTGCGGCCTCGCGTGGGGACCGCGCGGGGGCCCTGGGCGTCCCCGGTGGCGCCGCGGTAATCTCTGCGCCCTCCGCGCCGCCCCACCCCGCCCCCACCGGCCTGGCGCCGGCCGCGGCCACCTCCCGGAGGAGGGGAGGGACCCGCGGCTTCCCTTGGTTCTCTGAAGGAGGGGGGTAGCCGGCCGTCTGTCCCCACCTGCTCCAGCGGGGCAGCCCCCGAGTGGTCTGTTACTGAGCCACTGCGGGGTGGAGGCCACTGCGGGCCCCCTGCTGGACTCCCTTCCACTTACCCCACGGGAGAAGACAGAAGGGACTTCGCCTACTTGCCACCACGTAAACATAAAACCCGACCCCACCAGACTGGGGGCATTTCTCAGAAAGGAGAAAAGGCCCCTTTCCGTGGAGATGCGTGCTAGGAAGAAGTAAGCAGCCTGGGGTTAGGCTGTACTGGGAAGGGCCTGGGCCCCTTCCAGTGCTGGGCACAGGTATAGGCATCCCTCCCAGACGCCCAAAGGTCAGGCAGCAAAGACTGACTTCCAAGGCAGCGTCAGAACTTCCCCAGGCACATTGCTGAAGTGACATTTTGTGCCTAAGCCTTGAACATGCATTAAGCACCCACACAGCATTTCATACTTCATCTCTATCACAGCCAGAGGCCACGGCGAAGTAGGCACTAACCAATAAATTTCGCATCCATTTAGTCACCTTTTCCTAAAATCTATTTCTATTTTGGAGCATCTTCTGTAACTGTGACACCCATGGTGAGTGTTTTCATTTATTAAGAATTTCCTGAGTGCCGATCATTATTCTGGTCACTTACAGTACCTGAGAGTTCATTTTGGCTTTCGCAACCTCTCTATGGTGGTTATTTGAGCCTGTGCAAGAGACAAGGAAACTGAGAACCAAAGAATCCTAGGTAACTTTCCCAAAGACAAACCCAGTGGTCTCTAACCACAAAGCCTATGATTCAACAAGCAGCCTTCCACACTGCCTTATGTGGCCTGAGAGATTGCAAATTAATTAATATAAGTGGCTCCCATCCAAAGAAAATTTCGTTTTATTATATTGTGAACTAAATTATATTCCCCCAAAAGTTTAAATAGCATTTCACCTCTGCTTCAGCATGGTCTTCTGCTACTAACCTAAGCACCATCAAGTTCAAAAGCAGAAACAAATACTGAACACTTGTGGTTACAACTTATTTTTTAGTTAATAGGGCATTCCCTGCAATTATTAGCAGCAATGGAAAAGGCGAGGTTATAAATTTAAACTGTAAATGGTGCTCATTGCTGCTCTCATCACTCACGGGGTGTTCTTTCTTGTGGATTTATTTTTGAGGGCTTGGGCACTGCCAGGCATAATGTTTCCTTTCCTGGTTCTCAAGGTAGAAAGGGTTCTGGCAGTAAGTTTGGAGAAGGGAATTTGGAGCTTGGTCTAGAGCACATCCTGGCTTGAAGAGGATACCAGTTACATACACTTACAAGGAAATGGGTCGATTGGATTAACTTTTTCCCCCATTTTACAGGTGAGAAAACTAAGGGCTCAGTATTTTTAAGCAAGGTGTTTTTACAGGGCGAACCTAGGAATCAAACCAGCTTCTGTAGAAACCCAAAGACCACTGCTACCCACTGTGATGCTATTATTAATGGTAGTACTTAGAAATAGTGTTGCTTTTTAGTACAGAGTATTTGTTACAAACATTATGCAATTTAGGCATTTTTAAAGCACTCAGTGTCTACAAATCCTTTGTGGGTATAGCAGATATCATGTCAAAATTCGATGCAATGCTGAATTTAATATTTTCCTCTTAAGGTCACAATTTTTTAAATTTCATTTTGATGTAAAAATTATATTAGTTTGACTCAAAATAAAGGCTAAGGTAAAAAGATGCATAATTTCAATAAAACAGAAATTCATACTTTAATACAGCACAATATGTATTTAGCACAACACAAATATAGTTTGTAAGCATGTTTCTGTGCTCCCTTCAAAATCAGATTGTCAGCAGTACTGATCTTGCTTTCAACTTATTTTGTTCCTACATAATTTTTACACATCTACGTAAGAAATTATTGTGAAAATTATCAAAAAACAACCATAGCTCAATATGATTCAACTTTTTATTACTACCTTTGAATCCACCTAGTCTTAAATATACATATATTACAAAGTTATCACTAGAAGCAATAAAAAGATGTCACATTTCAGTCCACATTTGAAATAAGGAATTGCACTTAAGATACAAAGAATTTTGGGGCATTCCCTGGTGATGCAAGGGGTTAAATCACAGCCCTATGAAGCTATCTGCAGCCACTGCAGCACTTGTTCGATCCCAAGCCAGGGAGCTAACCCACATGGCACAGCAGACCTCTCCTGTCTTGCCCGCTGCACCCCTCAGCAGTGTATTTCAGATCTGCCTGTTCTGCTCCCCACTCTGTTTCTGGTGAATTCTCTCACCCACCACACACCTGGCCTGCACCCAGTTCTTGTATGCATAAATAAATAATTTCTTTTAAAAAAAGAATTTCAAGGCTGTATAGGAAAAAAAGTATTCCTAGTTTGAAGAAGGTGTTATGTCCAGCATTCTATTGAATTCCACTTTTTTAATTTTTGCCATATAACCTGAAATATTATTAACAATGTTTTTTCTTCAAATAAAATTTTTTTGCTAAATAAGTTTATCTGATAAAGTATTTATCATTGTCACAAGTGGAAAGTCAATAAAAGTTGCCATGAATAGAAGATAACCTTACAAATGAAACCTTACTATAAGAATAAAAGTTATTTATCCTGTACAACTTAAATTATCTCACACACCAGTTTGAGGAATACTGGTTTACAGAATTTAAGTTCTTAGGTTCCTTGAACTCTCCAAAACTTGCTTTCAAGACTTCCATCTCCATTACTGCAGATAAGTGTTGAATCAAAGATACTTTTAGGTATTACTTTTCAAATTCCATTCTAATCATGTATTGATTTCCTTGCCAAAATACACTTGAAGTATCTGAAGTTGTGGTCTTTTCAAAATTAATTTATTTTTTATTGTTTTCTTACAATCTTATAAAATTCAAGCAATTTGTAAGCACACAATTAAAAACCAAATTATTCTCCTGAGAGCCTATACCAGTTACTCATTCCTCTCGTTCTCCCCCAACTGTCCTCTCCACCCCCCTCACCTGCACACCTTTCATCTTAGGCCTTAACCACTGAAAAAGAAACCTTTCCACGGACCATGAAGTAGCAGCACCTATTGGCTGTGTCTAGTACTGCAACAATGTTCTACAAGGCCAAGGCGAGGGCCCAAAGTAAAATGTAGGGTCTGAAAGGGTAGGTGGGGAGGTTCTCAAGTCCAAAATCTACTGGAAAATTCTAAAGTGAATCAGAAACACTAGTAGGCCCTACATAACATGAATCAGGCCATCAGAATAGCCATCCCTGTTCAACCTCCTGTGAGAAAGGACATTTTTGTTGTTGTTGAGAGAGAAAAAAATGTGACTTTTCAGTGAAAATCAGTGGAAATATAAGATTCACTTATTAGCAATTCCCTTAACCAACCCCTCTGGGCAGGAAGCCTCTGCAGTTATCGTCTACTATTTGTTTATATTTCAAGTGTGCATGTCACTGATTTGGCATTGGGTTTTGTATAAGTCAAATTAAACAAACAAAGCCCTCCAGGAGCTCATAATCCAAAACATAATTTTTATTTTAATTTCATTTAAAAGTAACCTTAAGGAAAAAATTATCCCATCACTTTAGTAAGAACAAACTTTAAGTTTTAAATAAGACATTACCTCCCCCACCCCCAAAAGAAAACAAACAACTGGATGCTTGTAGAAATAATTCCAAATAGATCTCTTGACCAACTGGAAGTATACACAGTTCTTAAAAAATAAATTCATTCAATTCTTTCTTAGTAAAGTCTAAGCCAAACCTATGAGTTTTGGAAGAATGGACTTTACAAGATCAGCATCTTGTAAGAGTACAAAACAAATGAGAATAAAACAGGATTTCCCAGGATCTAAAGGACTATGCAGCTGGTTTTGGAAAATCTATAAATAAACACACTTTCTAGCCAATTTTGTGCAAACAGATGAAGCTTAAAAAATGTTCTACTAGGTTGTGAAAGTGAGAAATCAGATCTGCAGGAGACCTGTTGGGTCATTTTCTTCTGCAGGCTCTCTGTTCACTTCCTCATTCTTGACAGAGTCTCTAAAGAAAAGGCACTGCACACACTCTGGGAGACAGCTTCATTATATTTACTTTTAAATTCTCTCTTGAAATTTCTACTCAAGTTAAATCCTTTTAGTACCATATTATGAAGTTCTACTCTATCTTTCATGTTTACACCCAACCTTCAGATGTTTATAAACAGATACCATGCCCACTTTTAGTCATCTGTTAGCCACGTTAAACAAATGTAAGGCCTTTTAATCTTGTTTCAGTTCAGTCTCTCCAAGCCCTTAATCATTCTTAGGACTTGTCTCTGAACTATTTCCAGTTTCCTAGATGTTCATTTTTGTTAGAGGTATCCCACATTGAATGCACAGTCCCAGGTGTGGTCTCATTAGCTTGCAAGAATGATTCCTATTTCTTTATTCCTGTGGCATTATGTTTTGGCTTCACTGCAAATTCCCACCAAGTTGTACTACTTTCATGTCCTAAAAAAATTGCTTGTAATTTTTTTTTTCTTTTTTTGACTTCATATGGTATTTCTTTTGGAATACTATAACAATCCTGATTTCCTAAGTACATCAA